GGAGGGCAAAAGGGACGACGATGAGGGTGGGGAGGATGCCGAGGCGGAGGGGGCAGCCCCAGAAGGAGACGAGGGCGGTGTGGAGCTCATGGAGGGGCACAGAGCAGAGAAGGACCCACTGGATGTCAGATAATTGTGATGGCAGATCACCAGCTCCATGGGTTAAGAGGAAGATTTCTTGGGTGAGAAACGTGGGCATTTTCGACATATTACGAAAAATACATGGAGTGCATGTATAAACGTGAGTTTTTGAGGCTAGGGCACACTTTATGATTTCTTTTGGGGCTAAAGAGTAAGGGAAAAACATTGGAGGGCTAGGCCACATCCACTTTATTTTTGGGGGTCTTGACACGTTTTTCCATATATATATAAATATAGAAATATGGGTATGCTTAGTACCAAACATAAATTTTGTGCTTGGTAGTGAGGTGACACAATCCCCTCCACTCATTTAAATGAAAGACCACATTTATATAGGTTAAGGAGTGCATGAGGATATACAACCATTTGAATGAGTGGAGGGGATTATGTCACCTCACTGGCAAACACAACTTTTTATGCTTGGTACCAATCACATCATTGAAATTGCTATCAGCTCCCCCAGATTTTATAATTTGTTTCATATTGATCCGTCCAATTAAGAGCAGCAGCAGGAGTAAGTTATGAAATATAAACATCACAATTAAGAGCAACGATATAAGTTGTTTCATATTAATCTTGCTATCAATCAAACTTAATTTCTGCAAAATCGTGCAAGTTTAAATCAAAGAAACTGCAGCATCTCAAGATTCATTTATTTGTTTCCAAATGAAAATTATATGCACATCTTAACATATACTGCTAAAGACATGCAAATTTCAAATCCAATGCATAACGCCAACAGTTATTTTTCTTTATTGCTAAATAAAAAGAATTTCCTTCAAAAGACCCACCGCTGGGTGATCCGGACGGTTAGGAGGTTCAATATGGCTCCCACGGTCTTCGGTTCGATTACGGGCTGAGTTATCCCACACACAAAAAAGAGCCCCTTTAAAAGAAAATTTTCTATAAAATCAATCTTTGTTCTGTGAGATCATGATCCAAGGCCTTTACTAATAATCTTCTGCAGTGCTTTCTTGGCTTCCTCTAGAGTCTCAACCTTATGATCTACTTCAAAGGATAACCTCTGGATATTAAACTGCACAGAAGGAGAAAAAAAAGCAAATAATTTATAACCCATATATAAAATTGTTTATTAAAAATATAAAGAAACAAATAAAATGCTTCTAGTGATCCACCAAAAGCAATGAACAAGCAACAAAATTTCCTCTTCGCATATAAATAAATTTTAGAAGGAAAAACATTACACATACATGTGAGAATTCTGAGAAATACGTCTTATTTGACTTATATAGCTATCTTGTGCATTGGAGAGAACACAATTCCTTCTAGTAATAGTAAAGTAATCGTCTTCTTTCATTCTGTTGCCCTTTTCCTTGAGCTAATTTTGAGGATTACTCCTTGGTTAAATGAGATTGAACATTATAAAGGTAGGTGTTGCTATCTATGAACTGCTTAGGGGTTTATGACCGTTTATCAATATTTCATTGGAGTACCGCAACCATTTGGAAGGTTGATAACTGATCACATAATTTGGCCAACCATTAATGGAGTATCCCCATAGCTGACCCCATCTTGATGACAAAAGGCTTAGATGCACGCACACGAGCACGCACACGGATCCTTTATCCTAAATTTCTGGTGTCAGCTACATTAATCCTATCAGTCTACTCAGTTCTTTGATAAAGGGATATCCTCTCCATTAAGCTAATCACTATCATTATTGTTTCTAATTGCTTCCAACTAAGTTCCCTTAGGCCTGGCTCTAGTCTTTCTCGTACTAATAACTATAATCTTATCACTTCCTCTAACTGATGAATTTTTAGTAGTCCCCATTGCATCTGCCAAAAATGTCATGAATTCCTGATGCCAATAATTTCTTGAAAACCACCACTTAACCAACCCCCTTATTGCTGCCATAACATACATTAATTCTTTGCTTGCAGGTCGCCCATTAAGAAGTATATGAGATGTCATACTTCTGTCCTTTATTTCTTGATCTTTCCAAATTTCTTGTGTACATGCATCACATTTTAGAACATTGTGTGGGTTATCAGTGGACAGTGGTTAATTTGGATTACAAGCTTTTGACAGTTAGATTTTCCAGGCTGGATCACACCATTCACCTCAATGAAGTATGCCAATCATATTTTAACCTTTTGGACTTTGTTAAGAACAATAACAAAATCTCTAGATCTATAAGCTGATAACCACGCCCTCAGCATGACCACTAGAACAAAGTGAAAAGGCAACAGCAACTGATACCAAGTGTTTATGAACAGAAAGGTACCTGTGCACCTTGTCGAACTCGGATGTCAGTGCCTTTGCTGTCTATTGAAATGAAAGCTGCATCATCTACCTCCTCTTCAGTTGAGAGGATTTCTTTGAGTGACTTTGAAAACAATGCATTGAGTTCCTGTATACAAATCATGCATCGTATTATAGCCTGTACAAGACAATGGACATATTTAAATTAGATTCCTTGATTCCCTAGTTTGAAGTTTACCTTCAAAATTTTCTCTCCGCCATCAACAGCAATCTTATCAGGTTGAAGATTCTCATATTCCTTGACATCAATCCATGCAACAGTGCCAAAACCACCGATGAAATAAATGTCACTGAAATTTATCAAACAGGTATCGCTAAGTCCATGTCATATGCCTAATAATACATGTCAGTCAAATGAAGTGATAACTAAGGTAAAAGTTATAATTTATAAATAAGAAATGATCTCTCACTGGAAACCTCAACTACATAACTTAAACATTCACATGATAGGTTTTTTTTAATGGAATAACACAGGATACTTAGCCATATAATATGAATAACAGGACGACAAAAGAACATAGAAGAACCTAAATGAACATTTCTGGTTGCTAAAGCTTATATATCAGGTGCTTATACCTCTAGGCAACCGTTTTATATCATATATACGGTTAAACCACTTCTCCCCTATATGCTACTAGATTTTCTAGCCCAAAGTTCAACTACATCAAGTCCGCAAGAAAGAAAAGATACACGAAATACCTTATACTCTGCATCCTGTAATAGTAAAAGTTTCCCCATTGTTGAGATGCCCACTGTTGGTGTTTAGCTAGATATTGCATACGAGCCCATTCCTGAAGAAGACATATGCTATCATTTGAGTAGTTGACCATGAAGCAGATGTTAAGAGAGTGGTATTAGGACAAACCTGTCCTTTCATGCATGTAAAATTAGGCAAGTATTTTTTAAGAACGTACAGGTATACAATCTATAGATGTTGAAAGTTACACAGTAACAAAAGTTAAGAAGAATTCATAATGACAGGAACCTGTTGTTCAGCTGGCAATGGGAAGATATCACCAAATATAGTCACACGGGCATTTGATAGTGCACTCCATCCAGGAATCTATCATTGGAAGAAACTTTCAGCATAGTGAAGAAAAGATTACCAATCTAGTGGTCCTTTTATGACAATATAAAGTAATATGAACAAGACCTGTACGACAAGTGTACATTTTGGGTTTGCCAGTAGATTTCGTGTATGAATGGCCAATGGAGAGAGTGAAAATATTGGATCTGCACAATAAAAGTAGAATAAACATCGTAATATTATTATTGACCATAAATACCACCTCAAATTGGAAAGAAATGAACTATAATACTTACGGCCTACTGGATCAGGTGCAAAATCAACTAATGAACCAAATGGATACCCCAGGCGGTGATGGTGCATTCGGGACATCAAAGTGCAGAGATGAGCAAATCTAGCCTTAAAACGATGAACAAAATAACAGTGGCATACGATAAATATATGCAATAAAAAATTTAAAGCAAGAGGATTAGAAAGAGAGGTTAAAGCACATATGATTTGACTCATGGCGTCTTATCAGTAGAAGCTCACCTGCTCCATTAGATTGCGAACAGCCAATGCGGGTTGAGGCAAATCATGAACAGATGTCGCACTTTGCACGCCACCAGACATGGGCGTCCTGAGAAGGCCAGGTCTAGATCCTTGTGTTACCATCCCTGACGTTCCAGTGATATCACTTTTGCGTGCATCATGAGCCTTGCCCTCCTAAAAGACAAGAGACACCATTAAAACTATTCCCTTGTTTCTTTTTGTAACTTTTTAGTCTTACCAACTGTCTCAAGTGGAGAGCAAAAAGGAGCTCCTAGCTTATGCAGCTTTAGCGACAAAAGATATGGGAAAATGCAATGGGTCTTATTTGGTTGCGACAGAGCTAGAGTTCTCAAGATGAAAGACAAGAATTCTAATGACAGGATTTGGTACAAACCTTTGATATCTGGTTGCATGCACTGAGGCGATGTAGCGACGTGTGGAATTGGAAATCATCAATATTATATTACGAAGCGTTGAACGAGTTTCATTCCAAATATGGGTAAATTACATTCTTGCAAATGAAAATGGGTGATAATTTCAGTTTGGGCATGGGAGATTGATCACAGGAATGTTTATGAATAATAAAGGAAATACGAAGGAACTCCAAACACACTGAAAAGAACAGCAAGCAAAGGGATTCAACATCTCATATACAAGAAGCCGAAGAATGATTCTTACACTTGTGAATTGCGACATGGTATTCGAATTCTATGCAAACCAAAGACCCTAATTCTAGATCAATAACCAAGCTAAAGTGGGCCGAGGACAAGCAGTGGAAAGACTTGAATATTTTTAAAGATGTTTCTCCTGGGGAAGGAGCGTAATCCTTATAACCCAAAAAATGCAGCAGAAATGACCAACTGTTTTTTTTAAAGAATAACGGCATCCTTTTGTCAGATTTATCAGTTGCATATCATAAAACAATTCGAACTGCACATCCAAATCATACGATTTGAGGAAATAAATAAATAAATAAATAGTCTGAAAGCAAAACCAAACACTTGAGGTTCAACAACGCTTTCAGTAATTACGTCACTAATTAATACAAACAATACCCAAGCAAAGATCGAAGGCTGATGAAAATAGATCACCTCAAACTGAGACGAGCCCGCCTCGTCTGAAAGCAAACCAAAGCTGCTGTTGGCAAACGCGGGGTTATCTTCTCCGTTGGAAACGCCACTGGCAACGATTTGAAGCCTCAGAGGCCTAGACTTGCAAGTACGGAGCCTCGCGATTCCGAAAATTCCATGGGTCTGAGCAAAACCGCGTCGCAAAGGTGAGGGTTTCGTCGGAGAAAAATAGGCCGGGGAGGAGGTGGAGAGCGTCTCCATCTTTTATTATTAGAAACCAACCCTACCTAGGAATGGCAAACGGCTTTTGGAGAGAGGAGGAGGAAAAATAATAAAAGAAAAAAAAAAGAAAAATCAAACAGTGAG